CTCATAACATATACAGTATATGCGAGGTATATTTATATATACACTGACTCCTGTCAGTATACCTCGCGTATAATGCATCTTCTGAGAACCAAAACTCGTTCTCCATGTCCCTAAACAGCCTTGCGATGTATCACCATCTGCAATATTTCATTTCATTTTTATTAGAGATATTTTAACGAATTGTATTTATATGCACAATTATGGCTATCTTTTTCATTTCGCGTCTATGAAACGTACTGTTTACAATGGAAATATACCTTCGCGATCCATTATTGTAGACGAAATTACTGTTAATTCAACACTGATGATACCCGTTGCTATATGCGGCTCGCAGTACTGATGAATCGTAGCATGTATTCTTTGTAAAGTCTGACATCATTCATGGCATAGTATTCATGTGTAGTCTGCCTGTATTCATATCATAATATTCATGTGTAGTCTGCTACTATTCATACAGCATAATTTTCATGCATAGTCTTGCACTATTCATACAGCATAATATCCATTCATAGTCTTGTAGTATTAATACAGCATATTATTCATTCATAGTCTTGCACTATTCATCTCCTACTATCGCCAACCGACCACAGTTTCCTCCCAGTCTCAGGGACGGCGTCCACTTCCATCGACGTCGGGGACGGCAGCTCGCGTCACGAGTCCCCAGGACCCACGTCCCCGAGGGGACCAGGCCTCGGCCCCACGTCCCTGAGGGGACCAGGCCTCGGCCCCACGTCCCCGAGAGGATCAGGCCTCGGCCCCACGTCCCCGCGAGGGACGAAGGTGCACCACATCAGCATCGACGACGACGTCTTCCTCAAGGATGTCCAGGACGTCCCCGTGAAGTCCAAGAAGTTCGAAGACCCGGGATTCCTGAGGAGCTCAGTCAATTCCTCCAGTTTATCACAAAAATTTACTGATAAAAAATCTGCTGCAAGTTCAGCCGATCGCGCCATTTCGCACAAAAATAAGAACGATTCTATTATTTCAAGAGTTTTTCCCGATAAAAATTTAAATCTGCAGGACTCGTTTGCACAAGAAGAATTCTCGAGCAATAAAGAGAAGTTCCAGGTCGGCGATCAGGACTACGAGCGTTCCAGTTCTCGATTGTCCAGGCGAACCCAACAGAACCCTGAGCCCGGAAACCCTTACTTCAGACGGTCTCAGGAGTACAGATATCAATCCAAGGAATACCCGCTAGAAGATGTAGCGGAATCTGCTGCTGGCGCCAGTCAAAACCGAAAGAATAATAACCATGAATACGAAAACGTGGACTTCAAGTCCAAAAACTGGACGCAGAAGTCCTATTCATCCAAGTCTTACATCTCGTCCTCCTCAGCCAAGGACTCAGGACTTCGGTTCTCAAGAAGCTCTACGGACGCGGACCAAACTTTTTTAGGTAAATTGGACACGACGCACGAGGCCAGAAGCCTCAGAACTTCAGAAGATCCTCGTCCAACTGAAGACCTCGAGTCGCGTCTCTCCCGACTAGGGAAAGGATCCTTTGACTCGCCAAGGATCGATCCTTCCCGCGTTTCTGTTTCGGGATCCGCCGTTCGCCTCGTGGGCGTTCACGAGAACGCAGAGTTCTCTTTGTCGGCGCCGCAAGCCCTGCGACCTGAAGACGTCAACGTTAATATAATAGGTGCGTGCTGCTTGAGGGTTGTTAGCGGCCAGTAAAGGCCATCACACGGCCAGTAGTGGCCATCACACGGCCAGTAATGGCCATCACACGGCCAGTAGTGGCCATCTCACACGGCCAGCAATGGCCATCACACGACCAGTAATGGCCATCACAAGGCCAGTAATGGCCATCACAAGGCCAATAATGGCCATCACACGCAGCCAGTAGTGCTATCACAAGGCCAGTAATGGCCATCACACAGCCAGTAATGGCCATCACACGGCCAGTAATGGCCATCACAAGGCCAGTAATGGCCATCACACAGCCCAGTAATGGCAATCACACGGCCAGTTATGTCCAACATACGGCCAGTAATTGCCATCACGCAGCCAGTAATGGCCATCACACGGCCAGTAGTGGCCATCATACGGCCAGTAATGGCCATCACACAGCAAGAATTGGCCATGTGTTGAAAACTTTCCTTGCCTTGAACTACCCGATAAATGCCCGTAACGTAATGACCAGCGTAACATGTAACTAATAATAAACATTCTGTGACTGATAATAAACAATCTGTAACTGATAATACGCATTTAACGTTTTATCTCCGTCACAAACTGTGAGATTCGATTTAGTTGTAGTTTTGGACTTTGTGTTGCCTAAATTATATTTGATATTTTGGTAGCCAAATTCAACACTAACTTTACGATAAGAACCATGACACCGCGATAAGAACCATGACACCACGATAAGAACCATGACACCACGATAAGAACCATGACACCACGATAAGAACCATGACACCACGATAAGAACCATGATGGTACCAGGGCCGGGGGAGGTGGAGGTGGGGGTGGAGCTACACCCAGGGAGGGTGGGGGAGGTGGTGGCCGTGTTCAGCCCCGCGGTGGTGGGGGAACACCGCGTCCACGTCCGCGTGGGGGACTTGCGCGTCCCCGGCAGTCCCTTCAGGTGCTCTGCGCTCAGGCTTTTGCTATATAATATATAACTTTTATAATATATAACCCTTATAAGTCTATATTAATAAATATAACTTTTATAATATATAACCCTTATAAGTCTATATTAATAAATATAACTCTTATAATATATAACCCTTATAAGTTTATCTTAATAAATATAACTCTTATAATATATGACTCTTATAACTCTATCTTAATATATATAACTCTTATAATATAACTCTCATATCTCTATCTTAATATATATAACTCTTGTTAATAATGTATATATTATATGAGCGTACATGTATCATTCATGATGATTGATGTCTGATGATAGATGGTTTAACATTGTTGATCATTCTTAGGTTTAAATGAATATGGAAATATTTGTTATTAATATATAGCCTCATAACTACTTAACCCTCCTCTCTTTAGGTGCTACGTGTTACACTCCCCTCTCTCATTAACTCTAATTGGTGCTAATTTTATTATTCCAACGTTTTTCACTTTAAGTTTTAAAATCATTTACCCTACCCCCCTTCCTAAATTCAACCACCCCTCTAAATTCAACCCCCCCCCACCCCCCGTCAGGTGCTATGTGTGTCACGCCCCGCTCTCATTAACTCTAATTGTTGCTAATTAACTTAACACATTAATTACTGCTAATTATATTATCCTATCTTGTTCACTTAAATTTTTATAATCATTTACCCTACCACCCCCCTAAATTCAACCCCCTCACCCTAAATTCAACCCCCACCCCCCCGCAGGTGCTACGTGTACGACGCGCAGGCCATCCGCGTGGGCGACGTGCCGGACGGCTACGTCGGCAGGCCCGTCGAGTTCGAAAGTGAGTCAACCGCACTCAGCGACATACTGTAAGTGGGTCATGCTGATGAAATGATGGGTGATGCTATTCAAATAGACACCCTTTAAGCGGACTTTGTATGATGTGATGATTAGATGGGGGCTAAACTGGGTCAAGGTGACCCAGTTAGGATTCGAACATTCCTCAGAGTGTACCAAGTCCGTGCAAGATTTTTCTTACATTGCCTCCCACAATTCCCCACCCCCCCCCCCCCAAACTCTCACCCTCTCCTCGCCCTCGCCCCCTCCTACTCCCTTTCCTCTCCCTACTCCTCCAACTCTCACCTTCCCCTCACCCCCTCCTCCCCCTCCTCCCCCCAGTCGACGGCTCAGACGCGGGCTCGGGTAACCTCGAGATCCTCGTGAACGGCGGTCACGTGACATCCCACGTCCGCAGCCTCGGCCACCAGCGCTTCGTGGCGTCCTTCGTGCCGCACACGGCCATCCTGCACACGGTGGACATGTCCTTCAACGGCGACACGGTGCCAGGTGAGAGCCATCCTGCACACGGTGGACATGTCCTTCAACGGCGACACGGTGCCAGGTGAGGGCCATCCTGCACACGGTCGACATGTCCACCATGCGCATAGCCACATATTATTAGTGTCATGCTTCACTTCGTAACAATATTTGCGAGTGATGACGGACTGTTCCTGATACCGCAATGCCTCGGGGGTATAGGTGTGGAATAAAGCTTAACCTTTTATTAAGTCATGAACTTCAAACCAGACTTATTATCTCAATTAACCGGAGTTCAGTCATTACTGGCAAGGCAAGGCAAGCCAAGCCAGAGATTGTTCGGCTGGCTGCGTCTCAGGCAAGCCAGGGTTCACTCAGCTGGCTGAGACTGACTGGCTGAGCCATTCCAGGCGCGGCGGCGGCAACCCGCTACTCCAGCTCAGTGCCGCGTTAGCTTTGGTCGAGTGTGCATCGCTGCCGCAGCTCCGTTGAAATCATAACCTGGAAATAACCGCGCAATTTAATATTCAATCCGCAGTGTAAGAAATATCAGTAAATATTATTTCAAAGATTACGAAGAGTGCGTGAGTGAGGAAAGTGAGTTCGTAGTTGTGCAGTTGACATATAAGTAGGAATTTGGACACACCTCAGGAGGAAGGCTGACATCTTGCACGCGTGAGGTAAGAGACGCTCGTATTGTCTCATGTGTGTCGTTGCTTTTTATTTGTAAATTTATTTCTTCTTGTTGCAATTTTCATCGTGCATTCTTTGATTTTATTTGTATAATTATTCCCTCTTGTAGCGATTTTCTTTTTGCCTTCTTTGCTTTTATTTGTGTACGAAATCTTCATTTTATTTTTATATTTAATCCGTCTTGTTGCAATTTTCTTCATGCATTCAATAATGTTTAATTATACTGCTTTCGTTTTATTTTTTCTGATTAGAAATTATTTAGAAAATGAACGCTGCTATTTGGCTTCGAATATCAACTGCTGAGAAATAAAAGCTGGATCGTTCGTAAGTTGTTTAAATAATTAAAACTAAAATTATTAATTATTGCGGCCGATGCCTTACGCCGAGGTCATAAACAATATTTATTCTTCGTCTCGGCGGCACTTGATGTTTCTTGTCTGGAGGATGAACAATATTTGTATTGTAATAGCAGCGTTATATATGCTTTAGTATAACAGCTTATGCAGAGGGTATAATAGTAGCGTTATTTAAGCGTATTATAACTGCTTATTTAGGCGGTATAAAAGCAGCGTTAAAGCTGCATGTATAAGCGTTATTATAACTGCTTATATGTAGGTGGTATAATAGCAGCGCTATACCCGTATAAGCGTTATTATAACTGCTTATGTAGGCGGTATAATAGGTGCGCTATACCCGTATAAGCGTTATTATAACTGCTTATGTAGGCGGTATAACAGCAGCGCTATACCCGTATAAGCGTTATTATGACTGCTTAAGTAGGCGGTATAATAGGTGCGCTATTCCCGTATAAGCGTTATTATAACTGCTTAAGTAGGCGGTATAATAGGTGCGCTATACCCGTATAAGAGTTATTATGACTGCTTATGTAGGCGGTATAATAGGTGCGCTATACCTGTATAAGCGTTATTATAACTGCTTATGCAGGGGGTATAATAGCAGCGTTATATGAGCGTTATTATAACGGCGTATGTAGGCGGTATAATAGCAGCGCTACATGAGCGTTATTATTAACTGCTTATGTAGGTGGTATAATAGCAGCGTTATGTAAGCGTTATTATAACTGCTTATTTAGGCGGTGTAATAGCAGCGCTACATGAGCGTTATTATAACTGCTTAAGTAGGCGGTATAATAGCAGCGCTACATGAGCGTTATTATAACAGCTTATGTAGGTGGTATAATAGCAGCGCTATGTAAGCGTTATTATAACAGCTTATGTAGGCGGTATAAAAGCAGCGTTATACCTGTATAAGCGTCATTATATCTGCTAATGTAGGCGGTATAATAGCAGCGTTGTATGAGCGTTATTATAACAGCTTTTAATAACGTTATAATATCAGCGTTTGTCAAAGCCGTGGTACGGTATAGAGGCCACGTGATGATGACAAGAAGCGTGCAGCATTTATGGCTGCCTCAATATACTTATTTTAATTCATCCTGAATACGCAAAAAAACTAAAAAAGTACGTATAATGTACTTTTTTTACGTATTTTTTTTTAAAGTACGTCTAATGTACTTTTTTTTACATATTTTTTTTAAAAGTACGTATAATGTACTTTTTTAAGTATTTTTTTAAAAATACGTATAATATACTTTTTTTACGTATTTTTTTAAAAGTACGTTTAATGTACTTTTTTACGTATTTTTTTTTTTTAAAGTACGTATAATGTACTTTTTTACGTATTTTTTTTAAAAGTACGTATAATGTACTTTTTTACGTATTTCTTTTAAAGTTCGTATAATGTACTTTTTTACGTATTTTTTTTTAAAGTACGTATATTGTACTTTTTTACGTATTTTTTTTTAAAAGTACGTATAATGTACTTTTTTACGTATTTTTTTTAAAGTGCGTATAATGTACTTTATTACGTATTTTTTTTTAAAGTACGAAAAATGTACTTTTTTACGGTTTTTTTAAATTACGTATAATGTACTTTTTTTACGTATTTTTTTTTAAAGTACGTATAATGTACTAAAAAAAGTACGTATAATTACAAAAATACATGATTAATTCGATTAATAAATAATATGCAGTACAATCTAATCGTTTAGGAGTACGCCGAACAATAAATTTATGATTTGAAATTTCTATTAAATCGATTGATAGTAACTTAGTTGATTTTCAAGGGGTTTTACAGAAAGGCTTAGCCGAGACGTCGCTGAAGCGCTCAATGGATGGTTCTCGGCACAACGTTATGAAAGCGACGTTATATATAAGAGTTATATTAGCTGCATTTTAAAGGAGATATGTTGTTAGTAGCGTTATTTAGACGTTATAATTGCAGCGTTATATAGGAGTTATATTATTAGCAGCGTTATTTAGTCGTATATAGTAGCAGCGTTTTATAAGAGTTATATTATTAGCAGCGTTATATAGCTGTTATAGTTACAGCGTTTTATAAGAGTTATATTATTAGCAGCGTTATATAGCTGTTATAGTTACAGCGTTTTATAAGAGTTATATTATTAGCAGCGTTATTCAGTCGTATATAGTAGCAGCGTTTTATAAGAGTTATATTATTAGCAGCGTTATATAGCTGTTATAGTTACAGCGTTTTATAAGAGTTATATTATTAGCAGCGTTATTTAGTCGTATATAGTAGCAGCGTTTTATAAGAGTTATATTATTAGCAGCGTTATATAGCTGTTATAGTTACAGCGTTTTATAAGAGTTATATTATTAGCAGCGTTATTTAGTCGTATATAGTAGCAGCGTTTTATAAGAGTTATATTATTAGCAGCGTTATATAGACGTTATAGTAGCAGCGTTATATAAGAGTTATATTATAGCAGCGTTATATAAGAGTTATATTAGCAGCGTTATATAAGAGTTATATTAGCAGCGTTATATAAGAGTTATATTAGCAGCGTTATATAAGAGTTATATTAGCAGCGTTATATAAGAGTTATATTAGCAGCGTTATTCAGACGTTATAGTAGCAGCGTTATATAAGAGGTATGTTATTAGCAGCGTTATTTAGACGTTATAGTAGCAGCGTTATATAAGAGGTATGTTATTAGCAGCGTTATATAGACGTTATATTAGCAGCGTTATATAAGAGTTATAGTAGCAGCGTTATATGTATAAGAGTTATATTATAGCAGCGTTATATAACAGTTATAGTAGCAGCCTTTTATAACAGCTATATTAGCAGCCTTTTATAAGAGTTGTTAGCAACGTTATTTAGACGTTATTTTAGCAGCATTATATAAGAGTTATATTAGCTGGCTTTTTGTAACAGTTATATTGTTAGCAGCGTTATTTAGACGTTATAGTAGCAGCGTTAAATAAGAGTTATATTAGCAGCATTATTTAGACGTTATAGTAGCAGCGTTATATAAGAGTTATATTAGCAGCATTATTTAGACGTTATAGTAGCAGCGTTATATAAGAGTTATATTAGCAGCGTTATTTAGACGTTTTAGTAGCAGCGTTATATAAGAGTTATATTAGCAGCGTTATTCAGACGTTATAGTAGCAGCGTTATATTAGCAGCGTTATATAGACGTTATATTAGCAGCGTTATATAAACGTTATATTAGCAGCGTTATTCGATCAGACGTTATAGTAGCAGCGTTATATAAGTGTTAAACAAGGTGTCACGTAATACCTGGCATTCCTCAGGGCATATTAGGCGTAATGCCACGCATACCTCGGCTGAGAAATACGCCTCACAGCGAGCATTCCTCAGGGGATTTGACTGATGCTTGGCTATGTGCGATCAGGATTGTTACGGCGACACTCAAGAGGGTTACGGTGCTATATTCTGGATTGTTACGGCGCTACTCAGGATTGTTACGTCTCCACGCAAGATTGTTACGGCGTCACTCAAAATTGTTACGGCGCTATACTTGATATTGTTACGGTGCTACTCAGGATTGTTACGGCGCCACTCAGGATTGTTACGGCGCTATACTTGATATTGTTACGGCGCTATACTCAGGATTGTTACGGCGCTACTTGATATTGTTACGGCACTACTCAGTATTGTTACGGCGCTGCTCAGTATTAGGATTGTTACGGCGCTACTCAGGATTGTTACGGCGCTACTCAGGATTGTTACGGCGCTACTCAGGATTGTTACGGCGATGCTCAGGATTGTTACGGCGCTATACTTGATATTGTTACGGTGCTGCTCAGGATTGTTACGGCGCTATACTTGATATTGTTACGGCGCTACTCAGGATTGTTCTACGGCGGCACTCAAAATTGTTACGACTCTACTCAAAATTGTTACGGCGCTACTTGATATTGTTACGGTGCTGCTCACGATTGTTACGGCGCTATACTTGATATTGTTACGGCGCTATACTTGATATTGTTACGGCGCTACTCAGGATTGTGTTACGGCGCTACTCAAAATTGTTACGGCGCTACTCAAAATTGTTACGACTCTACTCAAAATTGTTACGGCGCTACTCAAAATTGTTACGACTCCACTCAAAATTGTTACGGCGCTACTTGATATTGTTACGGTGCTACTCAGTATTGTTACGGCGCTACTTGATATTGTTACGGCGCTGCTCAGGATTGTTACGGCGCTATACTTGATATTGTTACGGCGCTACTCAGGATTGTTACGGCGCTACTTGATATGGTTACGGCGCTACTCAGTATTATTACGGCGCTGCTCAGTATTGTTACGGCGCTACTCAGGATTGTTACGACGCTGCTCTAAATTATTACGGCGCCACTCTAAATTGTCACGGCGCCACTCTAAATTTTTACGGCTCCACTTTAAATTGTTACGGCTCCACTCTAAATTGTTACGGCTCCACTCTAAATTGTTACGGCTCCACTTTGAATTCTTACGGCTCCACTCTAAATTCTTACGGCTCCACTTTAAATTGTTACGGCTCCACTCTAAATTCTTACGGCTCCTCTCTAAATTCTTACGGCTCCACTCTAAATTGTTACGGCTCCACTCTAAATTGTTACGGCTCCACTCTAAATTGTTACGGCTCCAC